TACATACATGCAGTAACTTTTAAAACAGTGGGCTCTTTGTCCTTTAGCATTTAGTAGGTGCCGCAGATGGAAGCCCAAAATATTCCAGCTCATTGTTGATCGGTACAAGACTTCACCAAGCCACCAATGTCAAGGAGTAGCTGCCAATGAATAGAGGGTTTATGTGCAACTGACTGGCTTCCAGTGGGCAAGAACATAGCTATTCTGGACCTGAAGAATATATAAAGGTTGAGCACCATGCAGTGAGTCAATTGGAATTATGTTTATATTTTGTATCATTTATTTTTAAGTTAATAAATCAGACAATATTCCTTTTTTTTGCACTGTTTAATGGTCCAGCTGTTTTTACATCAGGTTGCGTGGCCATAAAGTGCAGTTTTTGTTGCGACAAGGAGGCACCAATTTAATACAGTGGTAATTTTGAAGGCTCTTGAATGTAACAACTACATTTATTAGTGTATGTCTATCTTTGTTGGTCATCATCTATTTCTGATCACTTTTCCTCTTTGCCGATGCAAATTCAGTCCATGTTTGCTGTCTGAGGTAGTTAAGCAATTAAGTTGACACATGAAATTATCATATTTTTGAATATGTAACAGTATCACTAGTAGAATGAAGCTATTTAAGCTTTAGGACATTGTCAGTTGGATTGTGGCGCTTTGAAAGCTCATATATCAAAGTGCTATTTGGCAAACCACTTTATTAGCTGGCACATACTGCTAACAAGCAACTGACCTACTTTCACTCTTTTTGTTGCTGTGTCTGTAAACTGCTTTTAATGTTCTTTTATGTGGTACATCCCTCTCATATAAAAAAAAAGGTTTCCCATGAATAAAGTTAATGAAAAAAATAATTAAAATTGAAATAAAATCTGCATATGGCTGGAGGGAGACTATGCCTCCACTAGGATCTGATTGTGAGCCTACTAAATAGGCTAACTCTGCCCTAGTCAGACGAAAGCTTAGCCACTACAATGTGTTAGGTTATATGAAGGTTGACCATATGTCCCATTTTAAATGGGGCAGTACCGTTATTTATTAATATTTCCCCCGTCCCGTTGTTTCGTGGAAAGAAATACATTTGGTCCCATTTGCAGGCCGGCTGGCCGAATTGATATAAATGTTTAGACGACCGCAACTGCGGCTGACCTTAACTTCTACATCCGTGGGGCCAGCCGGTCTCATTAAGGTGGCACACAGAGCGCGCTCCTAAGAAGTCCCCGCCGGCTGTTTATTCTTCCTCCGAGATGAGGCTAAGAATAGCGAGTTGCTGCAAACTTTTAGAGGAAGTGGGCTGTCTATTAACCCTTGTCAATCTGTGGAGGCACAGGCTCTGTGCATTACAATGCTTCCTCAGGGATGCAGAGGGTAATGAAAGCATACAGATATTACAGAAGCTACACGTAAACACACACAGAGCGAGTGTAACCTGAAAAGGTGAGCTAAGCATGTGGCCTGAGCAGGCGATAGGCTCTGAGAGATATTTACAACATACTAGTGAGGGTAATTAGCACCCAAAGCATTCTGCAGGAAATACTTTTGGTCACCTCCAATGAAAAACTAGTAATGAGCTGCAATGGCTCCAAATAGAACGGAGTAAATGGCTTACAAACGGTGACCTTTGAGGCAGTGGGCTCGTTTCCCATCAGATTAAATGGTTTCTAGTTGATAACATTTTAAACTTTTGCATGACAAGTAGGTTAGTGTAAAGAGAAACTTTAGCGAATGTTCAGGGGACAGTATGAATAACAATTTAGCTGGCATGAAGGAAGTGAAAAAAAAAATCCCCAAGTAATATTTCATAGATAGCACATTTCAACCTGCAGGCACGATAAACGATAAACAACTTCTCCCTTGACAAATGTCATGGTATATGAGCTGCTAATCGTCCGCATTATCACATATAACACTTTCCACAGATGGGGAAGGAGGTATTTGTCAAAATTTGTCATCAATTTGTCAAAGAATGTTGTCTTGATTGAGTAATATTTTATTAATTGACATCCTTTTTTTCTCTTTACAGATGAATTTGCCACTACTCATACAACTCTGACAGACCACGACTGTGAAATTACTGTTTGCACAGAGCTGGGCTTGGTGTTACGTGGTACCAAAGGTGAAACATTTTGTTTTTTCCCCACTTTAGACCATTAAGTTTACCCAGAAGCAGGGCCGCCATCAGTCTTAATGGGACCCCTTACATGAACCACAGAATTCCAACCTCGGAAGCATGACCGAGGGGCGGAGCCAGCTGCAGGTAAGTGTATAAGGGCCCCGCAGTACAGCATAGGCTGCCATGAACCTGCCTAAGGCCCAGCTCCTGCCCGATGGTACAGCTATATGCTGTACTGACGGGCAGGAGTTAGCTGTACTGATTCAAGGGGCCCCTTACACCAGTACTAGTGGTACCGCCCTAATGTACTAGAATGTACATTTTATATTTTAACTGTACAGGCTTATATGGCTAGGCTGGTGTTTTCTTTCTATGGGGAAGTTGCTGCCAGTTATATAATTAACTCTTTAAATTAAATTAAATGTAATTCATTATTTTATCTTGTTGCTTTTGTGCTGTGCAGGCTGGAGTATCCCTGGTTCTTTGACCCCAAACATTATAAATGTTCCAACAAGCAACGTTAATGTTCCTGGATGCTGGGCTCTAAAAGAGGGCAATAAGTTTCCAGAAATTCCTCTAAAAGGTTTGATGCCTAAATATTAGCTGTTTATTGTACACAATATATGAGAAGAAAATCAATATCCATGAATGCTATCCACAACCCCATAAACATATAACTCAAATGTTTCAGGACTATTACTTTCAGTTGTTGCTTAAAGTCTTCCCTTGAAATGCCAATGACAAAGAAGCGAAGAAACATCATTTTTATTGACAATCTCCAGAAGGAGTTAAAATGAATTAAACCGGAAAAACGGTGTAGTGATGGAACAAAAGTGCTATGCCAACATTGTAATGTCCATTTTTCCATTGCTCATTGAAGTAGAAGTGACATCAACTTTTTTTTTTTTGTCACAGCAGCTTGGCAGATTAGGGGGTCTGAAAATCTGAGTCAGACCCCCTTTACACGTACATGAACTTTAATGGCATCCCTGTGGGATTCACAAATGGGGGGCCATCAGCTAGTATGGGTGCTTTCCCCTGTTGGTGTCACTATTTGCCAGGGTGCCTGGCCCCTTGGAACTTGGGAGAAGTAACTGTCCTTGAGCTGGTTGAGGTGTGGCTGGGGACATGGGAGCAGTTTTTAGGACAGGCCTTATTTGGGCTGTTGGGCACCCAAATAACCCTCCTCGGATACAACAGTCATTGAGATTATTTATTTGTATATAATTTTGTTACTTTGGATACTGTTAACATTGGCTTGGTTAATCTGAACAAGGAACCCATAACACCCACAGAAACAGAAGAAACTTGCGTATTCGATCAGTGGACCCTCATAAAATCTACAATTGTGAGGCAGTTGGATACATGTAATAAAGAAAAAATTTCTGTATCTGATAGATGGATAAAGATTTTTGCTGAAATGAGCGAAAAACTCCTAGACTTTCATGACTTTTGTAATATTGTGGAATTTATTCTTTGTCTTCCTGGAAGTACAGCAGAATATTTTCTGTTATGAACAGTATGTGGTCAAAAGACAAAATCTAGATTGAGTAATGAGACAATGAGGGCAATGTTAATTGTAAAACAAAATTGTACCATGGAGTGCGAGAGGTTTTATGATAAGGTGTTGAAAGACCGAAATTTGCTGAGTAAGATTACTTCATGCGAAAAATATTCATGGTACAATCTTGGTGAAATATAGTTTCCCTCTACGTCTGCCTAAATGTTTGTATGAGTTCTGCCACTGAAGAATAATTGTTGAGTTGTGCATTTGGATACGGCGAACTGCCAAATCAACAAATGTCTGTCAATTTGTTGCCTCCGGATCAAAAAAAACATAATAATTCATCTACTATACTTTCATAAAACTTGTGTTATCACCTTACTATTTCATTAATAAGGAGTATAAAAACCATCCCAATGTTCTGTTGTTGGCTCAAGGAAATATGGTCAACCTAGTTACATGAGGTACACTATATTGCCAAAAGTATTGGGACGCCTGCCTTTACACGCACATGAACTTTAATGGCACCCCAATAATTCAAATACTTCTGGCAATATGGGGACTTGTGTAGCTTATACAAGAACATACAAACTCCATACAGATAGTTTCAGTGCTGGAAATGTATCCAGGACACCAAAACTGTTAATTAAAAGACCAAAGTTGTGGCTGGATGTGGGTGTTAAACAAAGAACAATGCAAAGAACAATGGCCAACCTATCCCTACAGTATCTTCCCAGATTTAACATTTGTGATGAGAGTTACTAAATGTTGCACACCATTCAGAAGAATGCTAGACATACATTTTTTTTTAATACAAGGCTCAATTCCCATCTTCAAAAAGACTTGAAGGCTTTGGCTAGACAATGCCTTAGAAATATCATGTATAAATCTACACGCAATAATTATGTTCACGTCCAGCTGTGGGTCATTACTGTCACAGACAAAGAAATCAGAGTAACGTGACAAACTTCAAAGTTTTTTGAAAAACTGCAGAATTAACACCTAGCACTCAGAAACTGAACAGAAACAATGAAAGCAAGCCTGACTGCCCGAGGACAGAAATTAAAACAAAACGAGGACTCTATTCATACGTTTATTGTATAATAATCCATCCAGGATTTACGAGTTGTTTTATAGAGAAAAAAATGAAGAAAATAACATACTACACCCACCCAAAGTACATGTATAAATAAGCCTATGATGGCAAGGTTGTGCACATCTTCCAGTAGCTCTTTGAAATTCAGGGAAGTTGGATCTAACACTAAGCACCATGTCTTCCCAGTGGAAAAGTGGGTCAGTTAGATCATCGGTGGGTGGCAGTATCAGCAGCCACAGAATCAGCGGTTTTGACCTGTCTAAGGGATCCGAACACTTTGTTTCTAATTTTAGCTCCAACGATGGCCTCTTGCATGGAGGGGAAAAGGAGACCATGCAGAACCTCAACATCCGACTGGCCTCTTACTTGGACAAAGTGAAAGCCTTAGAAGATGCCAATGCTGACCTTGAAGCAAAGATCAAAGAATGGTACCTAAAACACCAGGCCAAAACCGTTCCAGGGGATTACAGTAAATACTTTTCTATCGCTGAGGATCTCAAAAACAGGGTAAATTTGTGGACTAATTCACTGATTAGCCAATTTTTTTTAAACGTTATAGAAAGATAAAATTAATGATCAGCTTTCAGTGATGTCTACATTATGGGTGCACAGCATATTGCACCTGACATGAGAAGAAGTACCTGAGCTCATAGACCTCTTCTAAACATTCTAGTTGACTGGCTGTCATGCTGATTCATCAGCAACTCATCAAATTAGTCAATTAGTCACTGATTGAGTGATTTAGGGAATTTGACAATCTGCTTAGTTTTTCCAGGGGCTCCGTAACTAGAAAAGTTAGATCAATATGTGTGTAATGAAAGTTTAGGAACGGCAGCACAGGCTCTCTTTGAGTCATAACAATAGAATGTTAGAGGTTTGCTCGCTGTTGTCAACATTTTTGAGCCTCTGAGACTTCTCCTTAAGCCTAAGCTGACCATTCACCATGCATGCTAAATGAACATTGGCTTTTCTGTGGAGGACATTGAACAATGCTAATTGGTTGCAGAGATTGTATCTCATGATGTACAATCTCGGCAACCAATCAAATTAGTACTCATTATTACTGTCAGGGGGGTTCTATTTTGATATAGCAAAAGATGCTTGAAATTGTTGCGTGGGTTATGAAAACCAGTCTGCATGTTTGCCTATAGAGAATCTGTTTTGATAGTAGTATGGGGACTGCCTTTGTTAAACTCTTTCTGAACATGCTAGCTTCCTTGCTTTTTCAGGTTTGAATACTTCCTGAGCTAATGGCCAGGAACAAGCATGCAGCAAGTAAAGCCAGAATGATGTTAGATACTCAGATTTAAGCCATTGAGTATTATATCCAGACAAGTAGCATGTTCAGATGGCAAGACCAGCAATGACAGACTACATATATGTCTAGGTTTCAATGACAAAATGAGCAGGAGTTGGGCTTGATTGCTTACCTGTCTATTCAGTGAATAGTAGTCTGCACCCTTATATGCTTTGACACATTTAAAAGTATTCAATGCAGCAAAGAGTAACCCAAAGCATCCAATTAGTGTTACTTGTTTAGTCATTTGAATTAAATAAATGGAAATATTTTTGGTTACTATGGAATATTTTTAGTTATAATGGATTACTGCTTTCCACTTCTGCTTTGCATACTGCACTGCGTTACTGAATAAGCCTATACATTAGCTTAGGCATAGTATAGAGTACAATGGCTCAATAGTGACCCATTAGATCTCATCTAATCTAACCTAAAAAAATAACTGCTAATATCTGATTGCTTGATACATTTTTTAAATGTTACAGAAATGTTTATCTTCAATACTATTGTTTTCACAAGAAATGTTAACTTGGCAAGTACGTACATAGAGTATTATGTAGTAACATTTGGCATGTTAGTAAAGAGTTGTCTTTAATTTCAGTCAGCTTAATCTAAACTACTATAAAATGCCAGAAGTCATTTCTGAATCACTTGACTATATATATAAAAAAAAAACATTATATTTTCTTTATTGCATAGACAGTTCAAATATCCTGAGATGTAACTGTAATGATAATAATATACTAAGGATTATAATAAAGGATCTCATAAAAAGCAAGCTAGTGTTATGCAACCTAGGGGGTCAGTCTACATACAGGGGCATATTTAAAAAGAAGTGAATGTGACTTTCACTAAACATTACTGGTAGTGAATAAACCACTAACATTTAAATACAACTGCATCAGGAAGATTCGCCGGATGTGAATGTTTGGTGAATAATAGATTAACTGCTTTATCAATATGCCCCAAAATGTATATTTCTGTTCTACTTTTGATAATTGATGTTGAGGTGATTTATTCACTATCTTTTCTCCTTTGGGACTCTATTTGCAAGCTCCCCTTCTTCTAGTTCTTGACTCTGCCCCTCCAAGACTTGGAGACTCATTAGTCCTTCTGCCGGAAGAGGGAGTGTCACTATCTGCTGCATTTGCAACAACAATGTTAAAAGAAAATCAGTAGTGTAATCCCTGCTATAAGGGCCTTGTCAGGAAGGAGGAATTGGGAACTCTGAATTATAGACTTCTCCACCAGAGTTCCTAGGGAATGTGGGCAGCTTTTGACTTTTTGACCTTTTGATTTACCAGTATGACTTAAAGGATAACTATACCTTTATTTTTTGTTTGTTTTTTTCACTAGATTCTAGTAGAAACTACAGAAAATGCCAGGATTGTGTTACAGATTGATAATGCCAAGTTAGCTGCAGATGATTTCCGTATTAAGTAAGTGTGTTTTTTTTATTGCATGCAGACTTTTTAGCATCACTAGATCAGCCAAACCAGTTCTTGGGACATAAGGTTGCAACCCTAGACAGTCTGATCCAACATTTTTATAGGTTGTTATTATTACACAATAACTTTCAAACACTCTTTTCATACCAAAACCTTAATGGAAACCTGTGCTTTACCCATGGAGGGGTTACTGAACTTCATGTTTATACTGCTCCTTGCTTTTAAGATGCTCCATTCACCCACCAAAAACACCTATCGCTCTGCACAACTTGCGGCCCTTTAGTGTTTTTAACGTGCAGCTCTTGAGCCCCACCAGGCAGTAGAGGGAGCACTGATTTTAAAGGGGCTTTAAATAACATTGATCTCTAGCAGTTTTATGCAACATGTACCTGGTCTCCGACTGTTCACAAGCATTTATATTGAGCAGTCTCTGACCATTTCCTAATTTTTCAATATATGCTAGTCTTCTGTAGCTTTATATATAAAAACTATTACATGCTGCCCATTGGAGAAATTGGGGGCCACATTTTAGGCACCCCATACCTTGTAAGTTGACAACCATTGCTCTAAGGCATAAGGAGCATGGGACTCTCTCCCCTTCCTGCCATAATGCATTACTGGGTCCATGAATACCCAATCACCAGGTCCCAGTACTCTCTCATACAGAGGTGTAAGAGCCCTTAGCCCTGTGTAAAATCAGACCAGAATGACTTACAAAGGGCAGCTTCTTCTCTTCTGTGCTGTGGCTGAAAGGAACAGAGGGAGAACAAAAGGGTAGGGGAGTAAAAGCAGTTGGTGGATCAGCATTAAAGTATTGTTCTACTCAGAATGAGCAAAGCATGTGTCTACTTTAAAACTGTTTCCTATTATTACAAGTTACCAATTTAGTTTCAGAACTAAAAAAAACTAAATGGCCATCTTCATTGTAGATAGAAGTATGCAAGACAGCAAAATCCTTCTGAGACCCTAAAAAAGTATCTACAGTGGGCATGCCAGACTCAAAACATGTGCCAAACTAAATGCCATAACTGTAAGAGGCTTATGGCTGAAGGAAAAAAAAGAAACACTAAAGCATTTTAAAAAGTACTAAACCGACTATTCATCAGTTTAAAGTATACGTTCATCCAACAATAATTTGGTTTTGGATAGAGTAAGGAAGGTTTACAACCCTTGTTGGGCTTTTAACATTATCCATTAGAGAGATTTACCCTTACCTTTTGTCCCGGTGACACCGGGACAAAAACATAAAAGCTTTTTACTTATAAGGCACCACCACAGCACTTGTCTCATACTGCAAGTCTTAAGGTGTCCAAACACCTCACAACCATCGCACGACTTTCGTTGTGCGATGGTTGTAAGGTAATTAAAATCTCGTACGATCTGCCCATCTTGGACAGGCAGATCGTACTTGCGATCATCGCAAGCCCTCCCCGCTGAGGGGAGGGCTTCCGATGATTCCAATGCTGAGCGCGCAGTGTGCGCTTGCACACACCGGCCCGCTCTGCATTTGTCTTCCGAGTACGACACTAACCCGCCAAAAATCTTACGATTTTCAGCAGGTTTTTAAGCGTGCTCGGAAGACAAAAGACGTGCGACCATACAGTAGTAGAGGTTGCACACCTTCCATACACCTGGCGATTATCGTATGATCGCGGGATCACCCGCGATTATCGTACGATAGTCGGCAGGTGTATGGGTACCTTTACTCAGCTTGTCTTTTCCCCAAGGTTTGAGAGAGGCCCTGCGCTAGCAGTTGCTGCTTTTGTGAAGGATAACCACAGCAGTGACATAACAAGGCCTGATTAAAAAAGCTTTTTAAAAACACAGAACACCCTTTCCTAGATGAAGTGGCTTTCCCAGTGATTCTTTATTGGAACTACCGTAGCCCTCCGCCAATCACATGGTACCCTACCAGTCACTAAGGATCACAATAGCATTACTCATAACATGTGCTGCATTCATTATGAATGGGCTGCCAATGCACTGCAACAGATTAAAAGACACACGTCATGTATGCTGTAAGACACATTTTCCTCCTCATTTGTCCCTTTTTTTTGTCTGATGTAAAGATATCTATGAAAATTTACTATTTAATTACCAAAGGATTATTATGCACTAAAACCTTTGTCTTTTATCTATCACTTTCGGCATGTAAATTTGTACATTCTTAATGGTCTGCATAACTGGGAGAGTTAGCGCGCCAACTGAGGTATCTAATCAAAAACATGAACTCATGTAGTATAATGTTTAATTTCAGATATGAGAATGAGGTATTACTACACCAGAATGTTGAAGCAGACATCTGCGGCCTACGTAGAGTATTAGATGACTTGACCTTCACCAAGTCCAACCTCGAACCTCAACTTGAAAGCCTTAAGGAAGAGATTGAGTGCCTGAGGAAGAACCATGAAGAGGTACATAATGAAATAGTAAAGCTTTTCATTGTGCTGTTTTTTATAGAGTGGGCAAGAGTTAGAACTTCTGCTAGATATTGCTGTCTGTGGCTCCACAGAAGATATTAATTTTTTCATCCTGTTCTGCCTCCCAGTCATAAAATATACAGGAAGTAAGGAGATACAGTATCTCCCAAAAGGAGACATTGGCAATAAAACATAACTTTGCCAAAGGTTCTTACCCTTCCACACTATCCAAAATGTTTTTAAAAATTAGCTGTTGTTGCACTTTAAGTTGCCATTTAGATTATGGATAGCAATTGGTACACAGTTATAAACCAAACTGAAAAAACATAGGTCTACCAAATACAGTACCATTCTAGTTGTATTGATCTACAGTTTACCATAGCATTGTCAACATGTTTTTTTTTCACCAAACCAGAGGCTTTTAATTTGGGGTACAATATATATCTGTTAGGGGTACAAGGATGATGTCTTCAAACATGTTTTATCTTTTGGGGGTGGAGAATTGAGGCTTTATTTTGTAGCATGTTATGTTGAATGAGGTGCCAGCAGGCCAGTGCTTGTTAGGCCTATAGGATAGAGTTAAAGTGTGTAGCCCACCTCTGACCCCCAAAGGCATGTGGTGAACTCCAGGGGCAGGGAGGGCTGACATTTCCCTCTCAGAGATGTATCCTTAGCCGGGTTGTGGGATGGGAACAGCAAATGAATACACAGTGTAGGAATACTTTAGTTGAGCAGAGGATAACACTGTGTAATAGAACCACAACTGGATAGAGGATATTCTTGAGATCTTCTTGAGGCATGGACCTCAAGAACTAGACACCAGACTAGTTCTTGAGGTCCACACCATCCTGTCACCTCCAGCAGTCAAAGGGCTTCTCTGGTTCTCCTTCCCAAATAGTTCCAGAGCCCTCCTGAGTCAACATCTGGCCTCCTGTAGGCTTGAGGCCTAGTCAGCTTCTCCATCTGTGTACACCCTACCCCAAGGCTAGGACCGGGGGTAGACTACTCTGAGCACATGGCAATTCCTGAGTATGTATGCACTTCCCCAGCATGCACCACTGACTATAAAACTCCTAGTGATTGGATAGTGAGGCATAAACACTCCCAAAGTTCTCGATTTGGTTGTCCCACTCCCATTGGCACACCCTACTACAGGTAGGTGCAGACAATAGCAGAACACCTAGGAATTACCACATAATCACAGACTACAAATCAGCCAGACTGATTACAGTGCCAGCAACGCTAAATTTAAAGAGCCACTCCACTTAGAGCGAAGGGGCTGCAAGTGCAACCAAAGACAAACGTTTTTTTTTGTAGAGAAGGTTTAGAACACCTGTCAGATTTTACTTGCTGTTTGTGTTCCCAGAACATTCACCCCTCTATTTGTCATGGTGACTGCTATCTTACAGTGAAAGCAAACATCAAATTTTGGGTTGTTATAACAACAAGAATACACTATAAATCTTCCAATGAGGACACTAGTTCTAAGGATCCTGCTGACCACCAGGGATTTCCTCATCATGGAAACATTTTCTCTCATTTCCTGCTGTGGCAAAAAAAAAGGGGGGGTTATAAATCTCCCTTACTATACCCAAAACAAAACAAAAAAGTTTGGGCTTCAATTCCACTTTAATGAGGAACAATAAAAACAGGATTTGTGAACACCTAATTAGTTGATTAGTTGGGCTATTAGAACGTTTCTCTCTGTTTCCAAAGGATTGAGCGTAGGCCAGCAGCAAAATCTGTTGTTATGACTTAAAAGTAGATATGCTGCAAGTGTTTTGACATATGTAATCTTGGTTTTTAGGTCTTGCAATGTTCTCCAATCCATCACATCCTACCCTTAGAGATACCCATGAGAATACTGTTGTTCTTTCATGAAATTGGGTTAGTGGTGGTAAAACGGCCTTCCACATTGAAAGGGGTGTAAACAGGGAGAAAGGTTGAGGACCACTGGTCTAAACCAACAATGAGCAAACCTTTTTTATGCATCTAAAGTGAAAGTAGTAACATACAGTTTCTAGTTGCAGCTGACAATCATTCTTGGACCCAAGTAGATGCTTCTAGTAGATTCTGAGATCCTGTTAATTACCTGACAGTCAGATAATGTGCAAAGACATCTGCAGTATAGAGTTATAACTGATTTTCTAAATGTCTCACTCAGGAAATGAATGCTCTCAGAGGACAGAAGGGAGATGTTAACGTGGAGATGGATGCGGCCCCTGGAATTGATCTAACCAAACTTCTGAGTGACATGCGCTCCCAGTATGAAGAAATTGCAGAACAGAACCGTCAGAAGGCTGAACAATGGTTTAGAGAAAAGGTAACCTTGAATTAGGGTGTTCTTTATTTCTTGGAATCTGACCATCTGGATTTACTTAAAGAAAGATTTACTTAAAGAATGTCTATTATGTTTGCAGAGTGCAGAACTCAACCACGAGATCTCACACAGCAGTGAGATGGTTGAAAGCCATAAAAGCCAACTTACGGACCTCAGACGTACAGTGCAAGAACTGGAAATTGAGCTCCAAGCACAACTTGCTATGGTAACTTTCTTATAAGCATACTGCTGGGCGATGGAGGCCATTGTGCGCCATTTGGGTAGTCCTAATTAGCAACAATACTGATAGGCAGTATTGTAGGTTGTATAATGATCTCATCTGTCCGCGTATGTGGTCTTGTATGAAATCTTTCTACTGTGTACTGTGACCTAGATCTCACAGAAAGTGAATATCATTATGCGTGTTTTTAAGCCTTTCAAGGACACCAAAGAATCAAGTCTCAGTTAAATAGTTGTATCTTCTGCTGTCCAACTGCTTAGTAATAATGTTGGGATTACCGTTTTATAGCACATCCAAGTGTTAAGAAATCAGAGATCAGTGGAGCATTTTCCACACTCTACCTCCCCTGCTCGTAAGACATTCTTAGCAGTAGTTCTTACTAAAACATTTATATAAGAGAGGCGGGGCAGAACTTATACAAAAGGGTATTATCAGGTGGCAGACAGTGATGCTAAGAGGCCCCTGTGCAAGTAGAATGTTTGTCCTCCTCCTCATTTAACCACTGGTCAAGTAAAATAACTTAATCTTGTGTATCGAGTGAAAAGAAGTGAGCAGTGTCCGCGCCTTTGTGCCAAAGGGAGAGGTCTAAAGGTCCCCACACACCTTACGATAATCGAATGATAATCGCGGGAAATCCCACGATCGTACGATTATCGTAAGGTGTGTGGGAGCCGTGCAACCTTACAGTAGTAGAGGTCGCATTACTTTTAACTTACGGACATGTTCGAAACCCCGCCGAGCATTGTATGTGGCATGTTGGTACGATAAAAGCCGTACGGGCTGGTGTGCGCAAGCGCACACTGCCCGTTCGGCATTGCGGTCATCGGAAGCCTGCCCCTCAGGGAGCGTGGCTTGCGATCATCGCAAGTACGATCTGCCTATGCAAGATAGGCAGATCGTACGTTTTTTTAAGTACCTTACAACCATCGCAAGACAAAAGTCTTGCGATGGTTGTAAGGTGTGTGCCCAGCCTTAGGACTCACCTGACCCACATCTTGTAAAAATGAACCCTTAAGTCATGGGGGCTCTTGCACAACTCCACAATCTGCACAAATGTCCTCCCCTCATCTCTCAGGTGTGCATGAGCCAGTGATGTCTAAATATGCCCCTACTGTTCCTTTTATTTAACGCAGTCATAGCTTAGTCATATTGGTATCACTGAAAAGCCAACACAGTCTTTTTTTATTCTTCCTAAAAACAGAAATCCTCATTGGAGGGCTCATTGGCAGAGACAGAGCATTGTTATTGTGCACAGCTGTCACAGATACAGATCCTTATAGGAAATGTGGAAGAACAGCTCAGCCAGGTCCGCAGTGATCTGGAACGTCAGAATGCAGAGTACCAACTTCTGATGGACATCAAGACCCGACTGGAAATGGAAATTGAGACGTACCGCAGACTGATTGATGGAGAGCCGTAAGTTTCAAGTGGCAAAATGTTGGTGGGAATTATCATGTTCACTCTAGTGTGGTTGTAAGAGCAGTAGGGCATAATGTTTGGGGAATATAGGTGTTTCCTAGCCACTAGGTAACTAGATTCCATCAAATACATTTCAGGGCCTACTTTTTGGAAATACTGGACACAACTTTTTGTTTACCAAAGTGTTTTGCTATGTACAAACCACATAGAATGGCTTCTCTCTGTTTTAAAGTTCATGAGCTTTGCTACATGGAGCTCTTGGGTAACTGACCTTTTTGTAACAAAAGAAGGTTAATCCTAACAAAGCTAAATTAAGTTTATTTTCTGCCATTCTTTCTTCCAACCTTCAGGAAGTAGAGGACTGGTAGTCACAGGCTACTTTAATGGTTGGTATCAAGAAATAGGTAAAGTGCTGTCTATTGCAGACAGCTACAGTTCATTAATGAAATGAGCCATTTCTTCCATTAGGCAAGATGAAGTTTCTGATGAAGTTTCTATGTCAGGAAGTGCACTGTAGAGGCAATCTTGAGCTTCATAGCTCCTTAGCTTCTTAAAATCATTAGAAGGATACACAATATGCTCTTCCATCTCCTTAGCAAAAATGGTCAGGGTCACTGGCGGGTGTGACTCAATGTAGCAGTCAAGTTTTAGCTCCGGGGATAACATTTATGGGTGACTCAGTGCAATGAAAATGAAAAGAAACAACCCTGTTGAAGAGTTAATTTACACAAAAATGATATTTTAGTTATATGCAGAACCTGCTGAGTTGAGCCCCTGTCTTGGATATTTCAAAAGTGCCATAAATTCCTACCATGCTCCTGTTTTTTAACATTTTTGATGTCCCCATCCAGTTTTGCATGTTCATGTTACTTCTGGTTCTTTTCCTGATCTAAAAACAAAGCAGGGAGAGTTAAAACCCCAAAGTCCACAAAACATGTCCAACCTGGGATCTCAAGCACAGATATCAGAAATTGTCAGGTGGTTTAACTCTCCAACATCTCCCAAAAATTGAAGTATTGGCTTTCAGAGGACTGAATCTATAATTTACCTGTAATACTATTAGCATAATGTCAAAAGGGTTCCCTGTTAGAGTACAGTCCTGATGAGGAGCTCTCTCCCTTGCAGTAACACTGTGGGGCACATGCACCCTTTTGCAATGGAATAGGGGGCGCACCTTTAATTCAGGGATGTTGATCTTCTAATTTTCTCATGCAAGATCTTCTGTTTTTGTGACTACATACTTGATTATTCCCTTTGTATTTCAGCACTGCTAATCAAAGCACCATCTAATACACAAATCATAGCAAATATTGCATTAATAGATATTGTTATTCTTTTTTTTAGATGGCAATACAAACCCCAACCAGCTCCTGTGAAGGGTAAGTAATAGTGTTTTGTGTGAGGGCAGGTGGTCTGTTTAAATATGAACTTCAGTTAAATATTAAAAAGACTTTAACCCGGTTATGAATGTATGTTAAAATAATGATAAATGTATTGTAGATATAGCAGGGGAGAGAACACAAAAGACATCAGTTTGCTGATGCTCTCTAATTGTCCAATCAACAGCCTGGGGACAGGCAGTGACACTAATGCATTTTTTAATTGTAATAGAGATAGTGGTGTCACCATTATTTATGCTGGTGTTCATGCTGTACAGAATTACAAATATAAGGTAAAACTATGCAACTACGGCTCTGGATGTCATAGACTGATGTCACATGGGCAACTAACCTAAGACATGCGGGAGCCTCTTCCGCTTACCTCTGTAGAATCACTTCCTCACTGTCCAAGTTGATGCCAAATCTTCCTTGCTAGTGAAGGGGCACAACAGAATGACATCTCACTGGCCTGAATAGGGAGGGAGCGATTCCTTTGAGGCTGGTAATGATGCTGATTCCGGGTAATTGTCATCTGTATCAGATTCATCCATGTGACATCACCCTTTGGGTTGGGTTTGTTCAATATTGCTACACTGAACTAAACTCACAGATAATTGATTAGTATGATTATAAAGAACATAGCAAACTTTCTTTTCTATGTTTTCATCAGAACAAAATAAAACCAGGAAAGTTACGACAATCGTGGAGGAAGTGGTGGACGGCAAAATCGTATCACAAAAAGTGAATGCAACAGAAGAGAAGGTGTAAGCAAGAATGTCATCCTATAGCACTGATGTGCATATTCCACATTGATACGATACATGTATGCTTTTATATTGTATTCAATGCAACAGGGAACTGGGTGCATCTATGTTCTTTTATATGCAATAAACTTTATAATGCAGTACAATTTGTAGTCATTTTTCATACTTCAAGAGAGAAAAAAAGATATTCTAGATCTACCAATAAGATTTGTTTGACTTTTTCACATAAGAGAATTAGATGTAGCCAAATTCCTAGATTTCCTAGATCTGATAGTTGTAAGTGTGATATAGAGGGGGCCCGTCTGCCAACATTGCCCTCTAGTGGCAGCCAGAAGCAGCTAGTTCTCAATGGAGCAGTTGGAAAAGTAACGGTTATGTTGTTTGAAACTTTATGTTTGCTTTGACACAGATACACTACTCACCCTGGTGCCAGGGGAGGGGAAGGGGGGAGAGGGAGGTTGGATGGTAGGTGCTGTCAGTGGATGTTTATTACCTGGGGGGTGTTGCTGCTGGCGCTGGATGCTTGTTACTGGGAGGTAGTGTTGTGTTGTTGTGGGGGGTGCTGGATGTTCATTATCAAGGAGAGGCTGTTGGTGCTATCTCTGGGTCCGACAGCTCTGTCCGGTGTCTCGCCCAGCTCAATAGATGCCAGCAGCTCCAGGCAACCAGTGACATCAGTGAGCTGGTTGGGAAGCAGGCAAGAGCAACCTGGGAATCCTTGTCTGCCCCCCTGCCATCCCCACATGACTCAATTAAATGCCACCTGAGGCAATTGGCTTAGGCTGCCTCATTATAGGGATGGTCCTGGGTAACCCATCCCATTAAGTTTTTGCAGGGACATAGGAACATGGAGGGTGTATTCTAAAAGTTAGCCTTTAGTTAAAATGGTCAATGAGGCTGACTATGTTAAACCATAAAACTGTCCTCCAGACTGATAGTTACTACTACTTAAGTTTTGCTCTAATGTTTACAACAAGCAGGCACTTTGTACAAATTAAATCTTTTTACTGATGTGTGGAATATACTATAAGACATTATTTTGACTTCTTTAGGCTAGGTGTAGATTGGACATGATCTACTGATTTTGATCTATCACACAGGACGAAATAAGAAGGTCACTTAACTCCCAACCCAAAAAAAGATATTCACCTTTCCTTTACTTCAGTGCTTGTACATTCAGCCACAGGGAGAAAGCATGCATAGCCCAGGCAGTTTGGAGGTTAAACAGGGCTTTCTTTTCTTAATCCCGGTGACCAAATAGAGCAGCAAAGCCACAAGGAAATGTGTGGATGTGCTGCTGGGGAAGTGGAGAAACCAGCTGACCTTCTTAGCTTGTCCTGCATTGGCAAAGGAAAGGGTCACTTTTAGAACAAGACCCTGGTTCTGCCTATAACTTTGCTATTTATTCAGTTGTTCCTATTCTCCGTAGCCCTTTCCCCAACACCTTCCCCAAAGTCCGCCTCCTGGCAGGTCACTCTTACATGATGACATGTTCAGGGGGGTGGGGGCTTGCAGGGTAAGGGAGCAAGCAGTAGTGAACAATCTTGAGGGGCCTGCCAATCACAAGGTCCTGTTATATTACATACCATAGTTGGTGTTAATTTAAACATAACATAGCTTCCCACCTGAAAGTCTGGGGAGACACCCTCCTTTAGTTCCCTGAACACTTGAAACTATGCCCTTTGGGGGGACCCCCCCATTGCTCAACCTGTAAGTAGTGAGGAGGGAGCACAGCTGCTGGAGGAGACCTGCTGTGGGACACATATGGACAACTTCAAAATCTGGAAAGTAAATGCTAATAAAATTAAAATTAAGAAAGCATTTTTTAACAACGTGTCCTGATTTTTTTTCCTTTATACCCTTAACTGCACGCACTGATGAGTTGGTTAGGGGTCTAAGGGACCCCTTAAGCCAGATTATCATGGAGGGGGCAACCACCTACTCTTCTTCCATGTGGGACAGGTAGGTGGTAAATAAGCCCCCCCCCACACCCCCAGCACTCCCTCCCTATTGTCAGTTTCAGCATCTCGCACTGGTGCTTTAGGATATGGGCCCAGTTTTATTTTTTGGGGAACCCTTCTCAAAGCACACCCAAATACTCAAGGGCATGTACGCTGGAATCCACATGGCCGTGGGTCTGCACACTTTTTGCCCCCATTGTTATGGGGATACAAGCCTGCATGCCTGGTGTGCCAGGGTGTTTTTTCTGGAAGCAGAGGCATGCATTTTACATTTACATGTTTTTTTACATTTAAAATACAAAGTAAATAGATAAATATAGAAATTCTCAACTTGAATTGACAACACAGGTTCAGCACTTCTAATAGACAATCATTTTATTTTCGCCTGAAAATACAATGATTTAGCAGTTCATTTGTGTTTCTTTTGGACAATGGAAACACAGTAATTTAAATCTTTAGCCCGAATCTGCTCCATCCACTGGCACTTTTCCCCGAGGTTGATCTGAAGAGAGCTCTCCCCCATCAAAGCCACAGCCTGGTGGAGCATCCACTGGATGCTTGCCAACTTTCAGCCAATAGTGATTAATGCTGCTTAATTCTTCTTTGCCCTCTCTCTATGCATGTGCCTTTGAACCTCCATGACATATCTAATCGGCTAGCCTCCAGGAGAAGGACCACCAGAGGCAGATTGAGAATGGTAGCAATAAGCCCCACTGGGGTGGTGATACGGGCTGAGGTAGTAGAACAAGTGTGGGATGCTGAGCTAGACTAAGAGAAGCCCAGTGGCCCTTTCCTCAAAGGAACTTGCTCCTCTGAATCAACAGGCTCAAGTAGCAGGTTGAGCTTAGGAAAGAAAACAAAAACACAAACTTTTTAATTAAAATAATTGTCATAACATGAATACATTTACCACATCTGCATACTCATGAGTGGGTAGGTGAGCATTATTAACTATCTAGGGGCATCCAGCACACTGTCAAAGTCCCGGAGCTTTCTAGATTGAGCAAAATCTACACGCTCAATATAAATTATATTTGATGCTTTGCAGCGGCAGTTATGCAGAATCTAGTAAAACACAATTCAAACACACGTGGAGCCAATTACTACTTTCATTACCCAGTTTCATTAGAGAGACTACAACCATACAAGATCTGCGTCCTTAAAAACCATCATGCTGGTGTCTGGCTGCTTTGAAGAAACTTCAGAAACAGATGGGAAACCTATGCTGACACTCACAATGCTCAGGTGTGCAAAGCAGAATGCCTGCATGTTACTGCTGCCATTTGTGTAAATTTGGTTGCTCCCAGGAAGATAGGCAGTTGCAAATGGTAAAAACCCTGCTTTACTGTTAGGCTTCAAAACCACCTACAAGACCTAGGTGACAATGATGAAGAAGCTAGACATGTGCGATTCGTTTCGTTACAAATCGAAATTCGTATGAATTTTCCTGAAATTCGTAAATTCGGAAGCATCCGAAATCCGAATTGCAGTTTCCGAATTATATCCGAAATACGAAATTCCGTTAACGAATTTCGGATCTGAATTTCTTTGAAACGGGAACTAATATTACCCTTGTAAATGAGGTTGAACAACATGACAAGATTTTTTTTTAATCCGAAATACGGATCCGCTGCTGCTGAGGGTTGCATTACAATACAGGCAGGAAATACAAAATTCCGTTGACAGAATTTCATTCCGTTATGAACATTCGTTATGATGACGTTAAAAAGCAAAATACCTTTGTTAATATTGGAGTTGATGAGGTTTTTTTTTATCCGAAATCCGTTAACGGAATTTGTATTTCGTTTGGTTGACCAATCAGAGGTTTTCTCTTCTGCTGCTGAGAGTTGCATTACAATATAGGCAGGAAATACGAAATTCCGTTGATGGAATTTCGTTCCGTTACGAACATTCGTTATGATGAAGTTAAAAAGCAAAATACCTTTGTTAATATATTGGAGTTGATGGTAGTTTTTTTTTTTATCCGAAATACGAAATTCGGATCCGAAATACGTTAACGGAATTTCGTATTTCGGATAAAAAAAACAACTACCATCGACTCCAATATTAACAAAGGTACTTTTGCTTTTTGACTTCATCATAACGAATGTTCGTAAAGTTACGAAAATGTGCCGAAACTAACGAAAATTCGTATTTCGTACGTAATACGAAATAATGGATATTCAGAAACGAAACAAATTTTTTGACGGTGCACAAGTCTAGAAGAAGCTAGGCTAACATGTACCAAACAAGCATGGATATACTGAGGACCCTTTGGGATGTCTTCTCACTAATCTCAGCAAAAAAACAAACAAGTGTAGCATCATTGGGGAATAAAAACTAAGTAATGTTTGCCCAAAAGACCCAATGGACAGCTAGCCACCACCTACCTTGTGTTATCAGATAGCACTTACCTGTCTCACGTGATACTTTATATGTCTTGTTTGATTGATTTTTCTTTTACTTTTTTTGTACTGTTTAATTGACAATTAAGAGTTTCAATAAAAAATTTATATAGAAAAAAATATTCATAATAAACAGGCTGAATTTTTTTTTGGATTGAATCTTGTCTGAATCTTGGATCTTCGATAAATTTGTCCAAATATTGGCTGAATGGTCACTGAATATTTACAGGGTTATTCACTAAAGGGTGAAGAGTTTGGAGAAGGCAGGAGAAGTGAACAATCTAGGACAACATAGTTGAACTGGAAAGTCAGCTGAATTGGAGAATGTTTCCAGTTCAGCTATGTTGTCCTAGATCAGGGGTGGGCAACCTCGGCACTCCAGCTGCGGTGAAACTACAAGTCCCATGAGGCATTGCAAGACTCTGACAGTCACCACTCCCAGAGGAAGAGGCATGATTGCAAATCCAATCATGTCTTTGCATCTAGGAGTGACCGTCAGTCTTGCAATGCCTCATGGGACTTGTAGTTTCACCACAGCTGGAGTGCCGAGGTTGCCCACCCCTGTCCTAGATTGTTAACTTCTCCTTCCTTCTCCAAACTCTTCACCCTTTAGTGATTAATCCTGTTAGTAAACATTC